AAAAAAAAAAAAAAAAGAGATGAGTTTTCTTGTGTTTTAATATTTATCATATGAAGAAGGAACTTTTTTTGTTTGTTTGTTATTTATTTTTAGTTTTTGCTATAGGGCGTGTACACTTGCCAGAGACAGGAGGGAAAGTGAGAAATCACTCTCTGGAGGTGGGTGGCCAGGTTGCAATCCTCTCTTTTCAGTTCTCCTCTCAGGATTTCGGGCATGCATGCACATATGCCTGGTGTGTCTTTCAGGCAGCCAGATCTGGTACTTGAACCACACAGTTAACCACAGGAGGATCCAGCTGCCTAAACCACCACGCTAACAGTCTGGCCACAGAAACATATATTTTCCCCCATCAGAAAGCGCTCTCCAATGGATGATCAGTAATATGTCTGATTTCTAAAAGCTATTTGACAAGGTCAATGCATTACAAATAGATGGTAGAGTTCTTAAAACGTCTTCTAAGTGAAGAGGATTTAAAAACAGATCATTCTGTTAAGTTAATAATTTTCCTGTGTGTTTTGAATACTTGAAAAAGAATTAGTTATTGCTTTTATAATGTGAAAATAATCTTTGAAAATTCCTTAAAAGAGCCTGATGGGAGTCTGCCTTAATCTGAGTTAAATTCTTTCAAACCCTATCATAAGCTTCTCATTACTTCAGCTATGAAAAATTGTGGAAAGTAAGTGTAAATCTTACATTTTCATGGCTTTTAAGTCACACTTAATCTTCTTACCTTTTCATGGCTTTTAAGTCACACTTCCTAGGTTTCAATTTTGGCGGTGACCTTGGCTATGATCCTTAACCTAGTTGAGCCTCAGTTTTTTTATCTTTCCACATGGGAATAATAATACTATTAATTATTATGATGATGTTTGAGGATTAAATTAACACATGTAAAATATGTAGCAGATAGGTAATATTCATTGAATACACCTTTTCATGGCTTTTAAGTCACACTTCCTAGGTTTCAATTTTGGCGGTGACCTTGGCTATGATCCTTAACCTAGTTGAGCCTCAGTTTTTTTATCTTTCCACATGGGAATAATAATACTATTAATTATTATGATGATGTTTGAGGATTAAATTAACACATGTAAAATATGTAGCAGATAGGTAATATTCATTGAATACTTAGTATCTGAACTGTCCTAGAAAAATAAAGCCTGTAAGTGCCTATCAGAGTGACAAGAGCCTTTAGCTGTAATTCCTGGTATTATTTTAGACCAACTCTCCCTCCCCACTAGATTAAAGATTCAGCTATGTCCTTTACTTGTTGGCTGGGCCCCAGCTGGGCTTATCTGGCCATCTGGTTTGGTCCCATCTCAGTCTGACTAATTGTCTTCTGAATTCACTGCCTATGACCTTGCTTTATTAGTGACTCTGAACTATCTTGTCAGTGATTTGGTCAAGTTGAGTTTTTGCCTGCTGACCACACTTCTTGGTTAAGATCCCAGTGACAGGGACATGGCAGATGGCATAATGGTTATGTTGCTGGACTCCCACATGGCCAATCATGGTTCAAGTCCTGGACCTGGCAGCTTCAAACTCATGCCGGGCACTTATGTGTGTATGCCCAAAATCCCAAGAAGAGAATAGAGGAGAAGGGATTGCAGCATGGCCATCCCCCCAGGAGAGTGATTTCTCACTTTCTATTTTCTCTGTCTCTTGCTGGCTCTCTGGTAAGTACATGTACCCTATAGCAAAAATGTCTGGGGGAAAAAAATCTCCCTGTGATAATTCACCCCTCATTTCTAGCTTACAGTTCTGTCTTCACCTAGATGCTTCTCAGACCAAGCCTGCTGGGAAGTGATTCAGTTGGCTATATGAGTCTGAGGAATAAGTTTAAGATTTCAGGATTTGTTTTTGAAGCTTAACAATATCACTAAACCTATTGACATTCTATGTTGGCAGCGTATTTTTTTTCTTTGATAGTCAAAGCTTGAAATTCATAGAAAAGGATACTTCTAGTATAACCTCTTACTGGTTTTAGGAGATTAAGCATATTAGTATGTTTTGGGTATGTAACATCACAGACTGGAATTCAGACAGACTCGATTCAATCCCTGGCTTCATTTACTGTATGACCCTGATAGATTCTTAATCTTTCATGGCATATAATGGCAAAAGGATATCTCCTAACTGTGAGATTCCCACAGTACACATGGCAACCACTAATCAAAACAAACCTGTTCACGCATCTACCTTCATGCTCTTCTAATACAAGAACAGTAGTTATTTATCTTTCCACTCCCTCGTCTAGCATCATGCCTAATTCATAATAGGTGTTTAAGAAACATTGAATAAATAGAACATAAAGTGGGTCATGTCTATCTTGCCAGGCTGTGAGGATTAATGTCCTTGAGTGCAAAGTTCACATCACGGAGCCTGTCTTACAGTATGCATATGTAAATATTATTTTTTTTTCTTTCACATTTCCTAATTTTAGGTTCATTTTGCCATCTCAGCCTTTAGTAATAGTGTGATCTAAGTCTGTTATCACAGGCAGTCATGCAGAGAACTACAGTGAGAAAAGATCTAAGTTAGGAAGGTGACTATTCTTGAATTTGAGTTGCATGACTATCTTCCCAGTTCTCTTTTGGGTTTTAAACATTTTCAGATAATAGCACTAGACAGAAGTATAATTCCCTATGCAACTGGGATTTGAATTACTTGAAATTAAACAATGTATTCACATATTTCTTAAAACTGGGACAACTGAAAATTCAGTCAGTAGTATACACCCATGCATGTGGCAAAGTTGATTTCTTTTGCTGGGTCCATGTCATACTGGCTAAGTATTTTGAATAAAATTCCTGCTTCCAATCTGCTTATAAAATAGCTTTACCAAAATGCCAATATCTTGCTGGTTGTGCATATTCTTCTAGTATTGGGTTGTTGAAAAGTCATGATTTTTTTTCTATATTTTTCAAAGGTCACTTATTTATATGAAGAGCAAAGATCAATCAATGATATATTGCCCATTTTGTTTGATAACTTTTTGCCATCTTTCATTAAGCTTTATAATTCCTTATTCATAGAAGGACCTATCTTTATCAGCAAAAAACTGAAGAAGGTGCTGATTTATAGCCTCATGTGAATTGAATATTATACCACACAAGGAGTTTTGAAGAGAAACAATTGAAAGTCTGACAGTTCAAAGTCTAGCGAGTATGGTGGGTGCAGCAACATATCCCATCCAAGTTCTAATCATTTCTGATGAGTGATCAAACTCATGTGTGGTCTTGTATTATTGTAATGAAACACAACTCCTTTATAATCAGTGAGCTCTGGACGTTTCTGGAAGATGAATTTGTTTAAACTGTCCGATTGCCAACAGGACACATTTGAATTGATTGTTTGGTTTCTTGGTAGGAACTCAAAAATGCAACACCTTTAAAATCCCACCACATCAAGAACATAACCTTCCTCTGATGAATGTCTACTTTTGATGTCATTCGAGATGAATCATCACATTGGAACCAAGACCGTTTGTGTGCCACATTGTTATAAACAATCCAGTTCTCATCACCAAAGGATTGTTTTCCTCATGTTTCTTTGAGTTCATGAGGAACCCAAATATTGAGCTTGCATACATATTACAGCTTCTTCAGGTGGTCTTGAATGCTTGAATGATGGATATTCAGTGTTTCTGCAGTCTCTCCTGTAGTGTAACGTGATTTTGACTAGATCAATGCCTTTATTAATAACCTCTGTGGGCCTGCCTGGCCAAGGAGCATTACTGAGATCAAAATCACCAGCGCAGAATTTCATGAACCATTATTGGCACTAACGTTCTTATACAGCATTGTCACCATAAACTTGACACAACTTTTGACAAGCTTGACATACATTCTTCCCTTTCCTCTGAAGTAAAAGAGTAAAATATGGCAAAAATGCACAGTTTGGTCTTCCATCTTCAAAATCTCCAAAACCCAACCAAATAGCTTAATTTTTTTGTTGTTTTTAGAATGAAGCTAGAACTGTCAGCTGTCAAATGACATAGCAATAGCATAGATGTGAATGACTCTAGTACTTCCAAAAATAAAGTAGCGCCATCTGTTGCAAAAATGCATCATGACATTTCTGATATCCCAATAGCTCCTGCTTTTATAGTTCATCTGGACTTTGAAAATTATTTTGAAAATTATTTTTGTAGTTTACTTTAGATCCTTAGTAATCTGTCTGTCATGTCTTAAGATAATTCTTGTCTTTGTTTCCTGCTTTTCTAAGGATTGGTAGCTTTGTGTTTCAATATATTCTGTTATATTCTATTACCATTTTTCTTTGTATGCTCTCAGGTGATTGATTCCTCAGTTTCTGTTTTGTTCTGTATAATAATAATCTTTATTATAGATTATTTAAACAAAGACTAATCTCAATTCTGCCTTCTACAACTCAGAACCTGAGATAGTCATTTAAGTAGTCCCTAAATTCTGATCTCTAATGACTAAAGTATGGGACCTATTTAAGTCATCTGTAAACAGTAATTTAAGAAACTCTTTTAACAGCTACTTTCCTTTACTGGCTATAAATAATTCCTTTTTATTTTTTGTAATATTTAAGGGACCTTTTTGTCAATATTATCACATTTTTTTCTTTGCTTAGATAGTTTTTACTTATTGTAATATCATTCTCTTTGGTGGCCAAAAAAAGAAAGAGGAAATTATTTGTGAAGTGTACTTAAAAGATTCATGGAATTTCTTGATACCTTTTCCTAAAAGAGGAAATTTTATTGAGGGAAATGTGTCTTTTTTTTTTTTTTTTGCTGTAGGGCACATACACTCTCTGGAGAGACAGGGACCTTGAGAAGGAAAGTGAGAAAACACCCCCTACCACCACCACCCCAGGGGGATAGCCAGCTGCAATCCCTTCTCCTCCATTGTCCTTTCAGGAGAATCACACATGTGCCAGTGTGATATTCAAACTGCTGGGTCTGGGACTCAAAGTGCAGTCAGCCATTTGGGAGTCCAGCACCTTAACCACCACACCACTCCTAGCCTCAAGATTGTGTTATTTTTTTAAAATCCTTGGATACCTTTTATAGAGACTCACACTATCTAAGTTACTAAAAAAAAAATGACTTTCCACATTTCAAGAAGATAAGTAGTTATTTTTCAGTGTTTAATATTTGCTATAGATAGCATATTTTAGGTTAAACCTAGCTCTTGGGTTTTTATTTGCTATACCTCTACTTTGAGACACATTAGTTTATAAAATTTGAAACTGAACTTTAAATAATTAAGCTTTTATAGCATAATTGGCTATTCTTATTATTTATTTGCTGCTAAAACTTGGTCAAAACTGTACCTGAAGCTGTAATATTGAGTTACTAAATGGCCTTGCACCATAGTTTCCAAAATAGAAATTATTGTGGCAGAGGAGACTCTATGTCTTCCTATGACAGATAGAAAACTAATTAACTTTATGACAATGTATTATAATTACTAGACTTCCATATATTGATAGTTGTCTATGTTTCCCTTAGGTTATTTTGAAACCAATTCTCTACTGGTCTAAATGCCTTTAAAAAAAAAAAGATTTTCCTTTGCCTTAGTTGAGAGTAATATATAATGACTTAAAAAATTGAAAAAAACTGAATTATGAATATGTATGATTATGAAATAAATATTCGTTGTAATTGGACAAATGCTTGGATGGATATAATAGGCCTAATATTGGGTACAAATTTTTATATTCAGTGCACATAATTTTAGGGTTGATAGTATACAGAACTAATCATTCTTTAGGGCTTTGCCATAAATTTTTTCTAGTATGGAATGTCTAAAATACTAATTATTTTACCAAGGAGAAAACATTGTTCTAGTATGCCCTGTTGTAGAACATATGCTATAGTAAAAATATTCTGAACAGAGGAAAATATGAGTTACATGTAATCTAGTTATAGAAATCTATTTTGGAATGTGCTTTTGCTTTTATTTAAAAACAGGTGTGTTGGGACCAGCAGTTAACGTAATGGCTATGTCACTGGACTCCCATGTAGTCAACCACGGTTCAAGTCCCAGACCCGGTGGCTTAAATCTCACGCCGGGCACGTGTGCGTGCGTGCCCAAGATCCCAAGAGGAGAATGGAGGAGAAGGGATTGCGGCATGACCATCCCCCCTAGGGGGTGATTTCCTGCTTTCTGTCTCTCTCTCTCTGCCGAGCGCATGTGCCCTATAGCAAAAACCTCTCAAAAATAATAATAATAATAAATAAAAAATAAAAACAAGTGTGTTATAGGGTCAGCAGGTGGCATAGGGGTTAAGGCACTGGACTCCCACATAGTTCAAGTCCCTGACCTGGTGATTTGCTTTTTCACTTTCTCTCTCTCTGGTCAAATTAGAAAATAATAATAATAAATAAATAAATAGGTGTGTAGTCACAATACTTTAAATAGGGACTAGCAGTTAGCATAATGGCCATGTTGCTAGACTCCCATGTAGTTGACCATGGTTCGAGTCCTGGACCCAGTGGCTTAAACTCATGCTGGGTGCATGTGCACATGTGCCCAAGATCCTGAGAGGAGTATGGAGGAGAAAGAATTGCGGCCTGGCCATCCCTCCTGGGGAGTGATTTCTCGCTCTCTGTCTCTCTGTCTTCCTGGCTAGCACACGCGCCCTATAGCAAAAACCTCTCCAAAAAAAAAAAGTAAAAAAAAAATACTTTAAATAAAGTTCACTACAACGTCGTGACTGAAGAATAGCTGTAACTGTGTTGGAGATGGTGAGGAATATCTTTTAGGCAAATTAATATCCCTGTATACATGATTTATATTTATCTTGAACATGAGAGTTTAAATTCTTTGGCTTGAAATGTTTAAAAGGCCCCCTTTTCTAATTTTTAATGGAAAAGCTTTCAGATTTTCCCCATTCAGTATGATATTGGCTTTAGGTTTTTCGTATATGGGTTTTATTGTGTTGAGAAATGTCCCTTCTATGCCAATTTTGCTGAGTGCCTTAATCATAAAGGGATGTTGTATTTTATCGAATGCTTTTTCTACATCAATTGATACAATCATGTGGTTTTTGTCTTTCTTTCTATTAATATGGTATATTATGTTTATGATTTTGCATATGTTGAGCCACACTTGCATCCCTGGAATAAAGTCTATGGTGTATAATCTTTTTTTACTAGCAATTTTTACTAGCAATTTGCTAGTATCTTGTTGAAAATTCTTCTATCTGTGTACATCAGAGATATTGGTCTGTAGTTTTCCTTTTTATGTCTTTGTTTGGGGGATGAGGGTGATGGAGGCTTCATAAAATTAATTTGGGAGGGCTCTTTCCTTTTCAATCATTAGAAATAGTTTGAGTAGAATGGGGGTTAGCTCTTCTTTAGAAGTTATGTAAAATTCAAAAGTGAAGCCATCAGGACCTGGATTTTTCTGTTGTGATGTTATGAGAGGCATTGTATGTCCCCACTCAATATATACTGAATGTCAGCACTCTATGGCAGAAACTAAATGATTGGAAGGTATAAAAGCATGTAGAGCAATGATGGTACAGGAGACAGTGGGGGAGGAGGGTGAGAAATGGGGGAGAGTGAGAGGGAGGGAATTGAGGGGAAGAAGAAAGGAGCAAAACATTTAAGATACCCTAAATGGAAAGAAACCTGTTGATTATTATGTTCATGGTAAGATCTTTGACTGGACCGATATGCAATGTATTTATGATGGGCAAATTCATTTGGTATGCTGTAATGATACACAGTGATTAAATGTATAAAAATGTAAGAAGGCCCCCTGTTCTGTTATTCACAGATTATGCAAATATAACCAAAAATAGTTATGTCAATATAGGTTATTTACCAACATTAATAAGACTTTGAACTCAAGATTTACTGTAATATCTATAGTACAGCCTGACAGCCTGTGTGTGACTGAGAGTTTGTGTTCTCAGTCACATTTGCAAGTGTGTTATTATCCCCACACTGTGGATTATGAAGATGATTTTGATGGATGGCAAATGTCAGTATTTCCTTTGATTAAGATATGACACTGGCATTGGTTATGGAGAATGAAGATTTCCCTTTTCAGTCACTGATAGTAGCCCTCATATTATATAAAGGAAGTATCAATAAGGCCCAAAATTTAATAAGAAGAAAACTATATATTTTTTAAGTTCATTAAGTTATTTCATAGGAGCAAAAGAGAGGGATTCCTCACAAGATCTTGCCAAGCTATGACCCTCCTTCCAGCCTTCTAGGCAGCTGGCGTCACAGGTGCATGTGCTTTTTACTGTGGTAACTGAAGTGTCTTCTCTATGAGTGGTCATGGCCCTTGGCAGCTGCTACATAATGCTCCCTAAACTACCTGCAATCACGAATACAAGCAAACCTCATCTGGGGTGATTCACAACTACAAAGGAATAACTGACATAAGGAAAGATTAAATGCAAAGAACAATGAACTCTAGGATTCTTAAGGGTTCATACATTCATGTGCAGTCTCCATACATGTTGAGCATTAGCACAGTGATCCGCTATCTAGACAAAGACTAAGAGGCAGCAGTATCACATAAATATGAATCTTGATCTTATTGCTATAGACATGGTAAGGGTATAAATACTTGCACAAAAAGAAAAACACTGATTCCTTTCTATGCCTAGAGGTATTGATACTTGTGTTTGCTTTATCAGATTGCCCAACAGAAGGTGGAAAAGGTCTTGGGAAAAATTACTGAGAGTAAAAATAAACTGGCCTATGAAAAGGGAAAACTCCAGGTATGAGGTTTATTTCTGATTTTTGTTGTCTGATTTTAAACACCAGTTGTCGGGAACCAGCAGTAATGGCTATGTCGCTGGACTCCCACGTAGTCAATCGCGGTTTGTATTCCAGACCCGGTGGCTTAAAAAACTCACGCCGGGTGCGTGTGCGTGCGTGCCCAAGATCCCGAGAGGAGAATGAAGGAGAAGGGATTGCGGCGTGACCATCCCCCCTGGGGGGTGATTTCTCGCTTTCTGTCTCTCTGTTTCTCTGTCTGGCGAGCACACGCGCCCTATAGTGAAAACCCCTCAAAAAAAAAAAAAAATACCAGTTGTCAAACTAAATATTCCTGGCTTTTAAGAAGACCTAGCACTGCCATGTACTAATTCTCTAGTCTCTGAACCTCCTTAGTTTGCCTCATTAACATCCAGGTGACTCCTTGTCGCATACGTACCTGTTATTCGATGCTAAAGCCTTTAATTGTGGAAACAACCCATCTGTGACTAGCTGAGGCTTTATTATATTTATTTAATACATAGTCATTGACTGAGAAAGTTGAGAACCTATTTCTCTTTGTTGCTAAAGTTTTATGACATATTTCTATAAAGAAATAACCCTCAAAATTGGGACTCACTCAACCACAGACTTGAGTGAATGTGATGATACTGAACTATATTGCGTTTTGTTTGATGGCACCCATACAGCAGGAAGTTTGCCACTGATGTAGCTAAACATGACTTAAACCAACTCCAGTGAAAACATCAAAGTTCAAGTCAATGGTTCTAAGCTGTAGCTATATATTATAATTGCTCGGGGAGTTTTTAAAAATTCTTATGCTGGGGGCTGGCAGGTGGTGTGGTATTTACGGTGCTGGATTCCCACATGGCTGACTGAGGTTCGAGTCCTCGACCTGGTGACTTCCTTTCTCACTTTCCCTCCCTCTCTGTCTCTCTCTGGTCAAATTAAATAATAATAATAATAATAATAATAATAAATGAAATAATTATTTAAAAAATTCTTATGCTGAGAAATGTATATGATGTCTGCTATTTACTTTGAAATATGTCTTAGAAAAACTAGGTTGATGTATAGAGGGAATGGTAGATGGGCAGATATGTGATAGCAAGTAAAAAATATTCATTGTAGAATTTGGATGATGTTCATAGAAAATTTGCTTGATTTTTCTGTATGTTTAAACATTTTTTATAATGAAATGTAGCGGGGAAATTCCCATTACTAGAATTGCACCCCAGAGCAATTAAACCGGAGACCCAGGGACTAGATCCTAGTCTTCACTACTTTTAAACCTCATCAGATGAGGAGAATGGAGGAGAAGGGATTGCGACTTGACCACTCCATTGAAGGGTGGGTGATTTCTCATTTTCTTTTTTTCTTTTAAGAAAAATGTTTGCTATAGGGTGTGTGCATTCACTGGAGAGACAGAGACAGAACAGAAGAAATCATCTCCCTGGGGAGATGGTGATATCTTAATTCCTTCTGTTCCATTCTGCTTGGGATTTGGGACACATGCACACATGTGCCTGGAGTGAGTTTCAAGCCACCGGGTCTGGGACTCAAACTGTGATTGACTATATGGGAGTCCAGCACCATAACCATTACATCATCTGCTGGTCCCATCTTGCTTTCTATCTCTCCAATAAGCACAAGTTCCCTGTAGCATAATTCTCTCTACCAAAAAAAAAAAAAAATGTTATATACATATCATAATAAGTAAAAGATTGAATTTTCAAAACTGACTTGTTAATGAATTATAAATACTGGATTTTGGGTGATAATTTAGGTGATCATAAACTGCTGCCCCACATTGAAACATGGTTTGAAATTCATGTTCAGTACTATATAGTATTCTATTATATCAATATGCCACAATGTATTTATTCTGTTGATGGATAGTTAACTCATTTCCACTTGTTTGCAATTGCAAACAATGCCTATAAATTAATTCTTATCTGAGAATTATCGGAGAGGTCTTCTAAAAGGCCATGGGAAATGAGTATTATGAAAAAAACTGTGCATGGATTTTAAAAACTTTTTGTTCCAAAATAAACTCGTACTTAAATTTTATTTTTTTTCTCAAAGTTCTTTAGGTCACCTCTTATATATCACCTTGTACTCATATGCAAAATATTTTCTAGGCTTAAATATAATTCCTAGGAATAGAATTACTGAATTATCTTGAATTTTAATACATTTTGTCAAATTTCTCCTAAAAGTAGTTGTACCAGTTTTAAAAGCAATATATGTAAGAGGTTAAATAAGAGCGTTAGAATTATATTTGTTATCATGTGTGGATCTCATATGATAATACTATATACTGTTTAGAGATGCATATATAATAAACATATTTTAAAAGAATGAGAATGAGAAACACCAAATTCAGCATAGTGATTAACAGTAGAATGGAAGAACAAAATTTATTTGAGAAAGGATACAGAGTTTTGATTGTACACTTGTAATATTTTCTTTAAGTTCAAAGATGGATTGATGGGATTTTACTGTATATGTCTGAAAGATTCCCAATGGTTTTTAAATTGTTTTCTAACATATTTGAGTTTGATTTCCGTAGCTTTGCTCTAACCTACCATAGGCCCTAGCACATATAGCAACTGGCTTCAAACATTATGTTAGCTATTCAGACCCTATAAGCAACTACATTTATGACCTTAATTTAGAAATCAGGTAAGAGTTTTGTTTTGGTTTTTGTGTAGTAAATTTTATGTTGAACTATATAACATATGTAAGTACACAGGGGACAGACCGATGAATTTTTTACAAGGTAAACTTGCCTCTGTGATCAGCTCTCAGATTAAGAAACAGAACATTTCCAACACCCAGAACCTCCCCACCAGTTTTGCTATCCCCCCCAAGGGTAAATACCATCCTGACGTCTAACACCCCAGACTAGTTTTAGCATACTTGTACTTTATGTAACCACACAGTATACAGACTTTTGAATCTTGCTTCTTTCACCCAACATCATAATTGTGAAGTTTATCCATGTTGTAGTTTGTTGTGGTTCTTGGGTATATATTGCTGTGTGATGTTCCATTAGGCAGATTTTCAGTAAGGGTTCTAAGGAAAAAAAAAACTATGTTTCATTAAAATTATTCCAATTTCCTACAGGTATTTGTACTTTCAGTCAAAACACCTAAATTTTTTTTTTTTTTTTAAGATTTTTGCCACAGGGTATATGTACTCACTTGGAGGTGGGGTGGAGGAAGTGGAGACAGTAAGAAATCATGGCCTCAGGGTAATGGCCACACCACAATCCTTTGTCCTGCATTCTCCACTTGGGATTTTGGGCATGCATGCACACATGCCTGGCGGGATTTTCAAGCTACCAAGTCCGAGACTCAAAGTACAGTTAGCCATGTAGGAGTTCAGTGCCTTAACCACTGTTCCACCTACTGGCCCCCAAAATACCTAACTTTAAGCAGGTGAGGTTTTAACTCTGTAGCTCATTTCAAGCTATAAATGAGTAAACATTATGGGCATGTCCTACTTTATCTCAAATTAATGATACATATTTCACAACACTGGAAATGTATTAATTAATTTATAATGCTTACATTATGAAACATTATCATGGTGGGGGGTTCCATTTCTTACTTTTCTTAGTTTCTATAGTATTAATATATATGTATATACATATGTGTATGTGTGTATGTATGTATGTGTGCTTGTGTGTATATATGTGTGTATGTGTGAATTTATATCTCTTCAGACCATTCAAAACAATTTGAGGATATGACCTTGGCCTAAATTATTGCTCTTCTTGAGACTAGCTCATGAGCAAGTTATAGGAACAGCTTGGATTTTAATGATCACCAAAACGCTAGACCTCTTAGAGGCAGCAGGATGTGTTTGTTTCTAACCCGTCCTTCTATGTTCTCCATTAGGCAGATTTTCAGTAAGGGTTCTAAGGAAAAAAAAAACTATGTTTCATTAAAATTATTCCAATTTCCTACAGGTATTTGTACTTTCAGTCAAAACACCTAATTTTTTTTTTTTTTTTTAAGATTTTTGCCACAGGGTATATGTACTCACTTGGAGGTGGGGTGGAGGAAGTGGAGACAGTAAGAAATCATGGCCTCAGGGTAATGGCCACACCACAATCCTTTGTCCTGCATTCTCCACTTGGGATTTTGGGCATGCATGCACACATGCCTGGCGGGATTTTCAAGCTACCAAGTCCGAGACTCAAAGTACAGTTAGCCATGTAGGAGTTCAGTGCCTTAACCACTGTTCCACCTACTGGCCCCCAAAATACCTAACTTTAAGCAGGTGAGGTTTTAACTCTGTAGCTCATTTCAAGCTATAAATGAGTAAACATTATGGGCATGTCCTACTTTATCTCAAATTAATGATACATATTTCACAACACTGGAAATGTATTAATTAATTTATAATGCTTACATTATGAAACATTATCATGGTGGGGGGTTCCATTTCTTACTTTTCTTAGTTTCTATAGTATTAATATATATGTATATACATATGTGTATGTGTGTATGTATGTATGTGTGCTTGTGTGTATATATGTGTGTATGTGTGAATTTATATCTCTTCAGACCATTCAAAACAATTTGAGGATATGACCTTGGCCTAAATTATTGCTCTTCTTGAGACTAGCTCATGAGCAAGTTATAGGAACAGCTTGGATTTTAATGATCACCAAAACGCTAGACCTCTTAGAGGCAGCAGGATGTGTTTGTTTCTAACCCGTCCTTCTATGTTCTTTGTTGTGAATGTCCTGAGTTAGAACTTCTGCCAAATAAGAAATTGAGTATAAAAATTAAAGTACTTCATAGATAAGATGTGCCATCTGATGAATTTCAAGGTATTTTTTTGTTTTTGTTTTTTTATTCAGAGTCTGAAGTGTAGGGTAAATGATCTATCTGCAGCATATTGGGGAATAAGGATATTCTGTATTTGACTTGAAGAGACGCAAACCTGAAAGTCTTTAGAGTCAAAGCATTACATTTTCTCTGCAGCTGTTTGGGTAAAGAGCATTTTGTCTTTGTTTAAAATGAGAATAACTCATATCAATGCCTCCCTGTAGAGGCAGCCATTTAAATTCTAAACCTTAAATGAAAACCATGCTTAATTTTTCTTTATGGTTTTGAATAGCCCACAGCAGATATTTCACACTGTATACTGTAGAAAAGAACAACAGAAACAGGCAAAAATGAGAGAAAAATCCTGTTAGGAGAGATTTCCTGAAATAAAACAGGTTTTCATGTTCCCTTTCAGAAAAACCTACTATGTTAGCATTCAAATTTGAATAGTTTCTGAACATGTTTAGTAGCTGCAACCAAGGCAGTGTTTGCCCTTCACAAACAGGAGAAAAGAAGAGATATCAAAGGAGGAAAAGTTGATACGAATAAAAAAAACTTTTAGACACATAGTTTTTCATAGGTATATACATGTTTTTAAGGATTATTTTACTTATCTTTATTTATTTTTAATTTGGCCAGAGAGGGACAGAGTGAGAGAAAGAGAGAGAGAGAAGGAAAGTGAGAAAGCAAGCCACCAGGGCTGGGTCTCAAACTGTGGTCAGCCATATGGGAGTCCAGTGCCCTTAACCACCACGCCACCTGCCGGCTGATAAGAATAAAAATTTTGAATGAAATTTTTTCTGATTCAAGGATAGGCTCAGTAATATTAATGGTTTGTTTGAGGAGGTTGGGTAAGAAGAAAAAAATATGGAAAAACAGAATTTGGAGATTTGCGAGTATATATTAATGATTTTATCCCCTGAAATATTTTTTTCTTTAAAGAGAAAAATATGAGTAACCATCTTTATGCATTAGTTTTAAAATGTTATTCAGCATACAAGAATTCATTTATTCAACTTTTCTAATTCTGTCAGTAAAACACAAGACTATGCATTCATTTTGCATATTGACAGTTGTAATTATCCATATTCAAAAAGGTTTTTGAATACCAGGTATCACAATTCCTTTAAAACTGAAATATATTAACCACAAAATCTCACTGTTATATTTATGAGTCATGTCTGTTTGAAGTTTCCTTAAATAATAGAAACCAAATGAGTTGCCTCAGTACATTTAAATGGCAATAGCTTACTTTTAGCTGTGAATTGAAGTAGCATTCTCTGAAAGACTAGAAAAACAGGATTGGTTTCACAGTTTTTAAGGATGCTCTGTAATTTTTATCTTTATTTTTGATTTTTTTGCACAACTCATGGCATCCTTTTTTCTCCCCTTTGGCGTGTATAAAAATGTGTGTGTGTGTGTGTGTGTGTGTGATTAATAAGGCTTATTTTATTTTTTTTTCCTTCTAGACAAAAGTTAAGCAGCTAGAGGAACAACTGCATTCTTTTACTGAAACCCGTTTACAGAATGACCATCTACGCAAGCTGAACAAGGCTTTAGAGGCCAAATATGCTCAGGTGTGGTTAATAGCTACAAAAACAGATCGTTACTTTATTCTTTGTTTTTAAGGAATTATTTGACACCTTTCTCTATATCTTCATTCAATCCCCCAAAAAGAATGTGCTCACACTTGTCTCAGGTTGACAAATACATTTTTAAGCATCTACTATGTACGAGGTTCTGCTAAGCCATAAAGGAGTTCATAAAAATGCTTGAAGCAGGACTGGGACATAGGACTTCCTTTAAAAGGACAGGAATGTATTCAATACACTTTCTTATGTCAAAGAAAGTTATGCAGTTTTGAAGAACATGGACTGTATTAAGAAGCATTCCTAGGGAGCATTGTTATGATAGAAAACAACAGAAATGCTTTTCGGGCCAATTGGTGGTGTGGTGTTTAACGTGGCTAGATCCTGTGTGGCCAACTGTGTGGTTCCTGGCCTGGTGGCTTGAAAAACACATGTGCCTGTCTGTCCAAAATCCCAAAATGGGAGAGACATGGAGAAAAAGGGATTTCTTATTTTCTCTCTCTCTCCTCTCCAGTGAGTACACGCACTCTCTGGCAAGTTTTTTGGGGTTTTTTTTGGGTTTTTGTTTGTTTGTTTTTTTAAGAAAAAAAAGGGCTTTCATAGAGGAAGTGTTTTTGAAATTGAGCTTTAAAAGGTTTGGCAGACACAAGGAACAAGTATATTTGTTTTTTTAATTATAGGCAAACTCAGAACTCAGTGTCAACAAAGTACACCTGCAACAGACAGAAGCTCACCTGAAAGAGGTATTAGTTGCAAAGGTGCTTACTTTTCAGCATGGTGGCTGTCAAGGCTGGAAACCTCTTAAAGGTTACACATTTTAACAAATGAATGGAGAAAAGTTAAACAACCAAGATCTTTAAAACATTTAATGAACAATATAACCCAAGAATATATTACTGAAAGAGATTCATTTCAACAATATACATATTTACCATGTGTATAATTAGACTGAACATATTTTTATAAATCTTTAACTTGGTATAAGCATATGTAACTCTTGTGCCTGACATTTGTGTATATAAAACTCTGGTAACCAAGGAACTAGACTCTGCCCTTCAAGTGGAACACTCACAGGGTTCTAACCACCTGACTCTGCTGATAAGTGGTGAGGTCACAAAGTTGGTTAAGCGTATCTGACCTCATCAGATACGCTCTCCTACAGGGAATTTGGCTCTAGGTCTGTTTCTTCACTAGGTCATACTTAAAGTGTGATCGCTTTATTCTGAAAGCAAAAGGAACACATTTTGAAGATATTTTCCGTTGTGACTTCTTTCAGAACACAGTTTGTGTTGTTTCTCCCAGTAAAGTGGGTACTCCTCAAAAAGTAACTCTAGGTTCAACTGATTTTGTTTTTAATTGGTGATGCCTCCAAGAAAAAGGAAATCTCCAGAGAGGCCTGCGTCTTCAAAATCCCTTGAAAGTTCTAGGCCCCATATAAGCAATGTAAAGGAAAGAGTCTCATCGGTCGGTTTGCCTAGTGTTATTCCAAATTCTACACGCCGGGTGAGCTTTGCCCCTACCCTGACTTCTGTGAGAACGTCCCAGGAGATTGGAGACAATAGAATCTCTCTAAAGACTCTTCTGAATGCTATTAAAACCATGGAGGGAAGATTGGAAGGCAAAATAGACATTCTTGCCTCACGACCATTACTAAATGATGAATCACCAAGTTTTCTTAATCGGGATCTGGTAAGTGAAGACCACAAGTTAAATCTTGGGGAATTTTCAGATTTATACAAGAGTAAAGAAAAGTAGAAATAACTCAGAAAGACAATGCTTAAAAAATATGAGTAACAAGAAAATAAGGTTCTTCTCAAATAGGAAAAACTAATGATGTAGATTAGAACCATCTTTCTGGACATCAAATAGTTTTTATGTCAGATAGAAATTTTGTTATAACAGTAACAATTGTTTTTAAAATCTAATTTTGATTTATGAAAAATTCAAATTTCTATCCTAACATTTGAGCTAAAATGTTTGGATAAGGCCTATTTTTTTTTTTTTTAAGAAAGATTTTTGGTATAGGGCATGTGCACTCACCGATGAGACAGAGAGACAGAAAGCGAGAAATCACTCCCTGTGGCATGGCTATGCCACAGTCCATTCTCCTCCTGGGATCTTGGGCACACAGGCACAGGCACCCAACGTGAATTTTAAGCTACTAGGTCTGGGACTCGAACCATAGTCAACTTCATGGGAGTCCAGTGATGTAAAAATTATGCCATCTACTAGTCTCTAAGGCCTGCTTAAAAATACAAGTTAGAAATACATTAATCCAAGAAGCCCTAAGAAATTGAACATTGGAATTTTTTTTTCTTTTCTAATTTGATACACAACATGTGTGCTTGTCAGAGAGAGACAGAGAGGGAAAATGAGAAAGCCTCCTCCCTGGGAGATGATCACATCAAAATCCCTTCTCCATTTCTCCCTCCTTTTGGGATTTTGGACACACATGTACATGTGGCTGGGGTGGGTTTTAGGTCACTGAGTCTGGAATCCAAACCATGCTGTCAACCATTTGGGATCCAGCTCTCTTAATCATCATGCTACTAGTTGGTCTGTAAATATTTTCTAATGAAAACTTACTATAGCATCCACCTTTGCATGATAATTAAAAATAGTATTACAGTGTTATACCTTGTCTAATAGAGAAGGTACTTTCTATAAACATTTTTGCTAGTGACATTTTTGTATTTATATATATATGTATCTTATAAACTCTAATAAAATTTTAAAAACTATGTTTTTCTTTTGCACTTTTCTAGAACAAAATGGATTTTCAGAACCAATAAGTTGGTTTCCTTTGCACTATTCTTAGATCCTTTCATTTTAAATGTTACAGGTTAGAGACCAGCAGGTGGCATGGTAGTTAAGTCACTGAACTTCCAAATAGTTGACTGCGGTTTGAGTCCCAGACTGGGGACTTGCTTTCTCACTCTCCCCACCCCTGTCTCTGTCTTTTTCTCTCTGGTGAACATGTATGTGCTATAACAAATTTTAAAATAATAATAATGATACAGAAAATTAAATAATTATTCAAAAATAAATAAATAAGGGGCCAGTAGATGGTGTAGTGGTTATGTTGCTGGACTACCACATGTCCGACCACAGTTGAAGTCCTGGACCAAGTAGTTTGAAACTCACTCTGGGCACACATAAGCACATGTCCAAGATCCCAGGAGAATAATGGAGGAGAAAGGCTTGTGGTTTGGCCATCTCCCCCTGGAGGATGATTTCTCACTTTCTCTCTCACTGTGTCTGGTAAGCACACACACCCTAAGGTAAAAATCCTGTAAAAAATAAATACATAAATAAATAAATGTTACAGGCGAAATTTTAATTAAGAAAGTATAATAATATTGAGGAAATGTGAGGACAAGATATCCTTTGTTGCTTTTGGGAGCTGGTGTGGTTTTCAGGTCACTGAGTCTGGAATCCAAACCATGCTGTCAACCATTTGGGATCCAGCTCTCTTAATCATCATGCTACTAGTTGGTCTGTAAATATTTTCTAATGAAAACTTACTATAGCATCCACCTTTGCATGATAATTAAAAATAGTATTACAGTGTTATACCTTGTCTAATAGAGAAGGTACTTTCTATAAACATTTTTGCTAGTGACATTTTTGTATTTATATATATATGTATCTTATAAACTCTAATAAAATTTTAAAAACTATGTTTTTCTTTTGCACTTTTCTAGAACAAAATGGATTTTCAGAACCAATAAGTTGGTTTCCTTTGCACTATTCTTAGATCCTTTCATTTTAAATGTTACAGGTTAGAGACCAGCAGGTGGCATGGTAGTTAAGTCACTGAACTTCCAAATAGTTGACTGCGGTTTGAGTCCCAGACTGGGGACTTGCTTTCTCACTCTCCCCACCCCTGTCTCTGTCTTTTTCTCTCTGGTGAACATGTATGTGCTATAACAAATTTTAAAATAATAATAATGATACAGAAAATTAAATAATTATTCAAAAATAAATAAATAAGGGGCCAGTAGATGGTGTAGTGGTTATGTTGCTGGACTACCACATGTCCGACCACAGTTGAAGTCCTGGACCAAGTAGTTTGAAACTCACTCTGGGCACACATAAGCACATGTCCAAGATCCCAGGAGAATAATGGAGGAGAAAGGCTTGTGGTTTGGCCATCTCCCCCTGGAGGATGATTTCTCACTTTCTCTCTCACTGTGTCTGGTAAGCACACACACCCTAAGGTAAAAATCCTGTAAAAAATAAATACATAAATAAATAAATGTTACAGGCGAAATTTTAATTAAGAAAGTATAATAATATTGAGGAAATGTGAGGACAAGATATCCTTTGTTGCTTTTGGGAGTATAAAATGATTCAAGTCCTATGGAAGACAATTTGGCAATATTTATCACACCTCCATATCACAATTATACTTTATGTACTTCTTCCTACAGATATCCTAACTTGTACACATGACATGTTTACAAGGATACTTACCAAAGTATTGTTGATTAATAGTAAAAGACTGGAAACAACCAAAATTCTATTGATGGGAGACTGACTGGATAAATCATGGCGTGTCTATAGTTTGCAGTACTGCTTCAAGATGTGTATGTTACTAGGATTAAACAAAGTTCAGAAGAGTATTATTTTACTATTTGCGTGCAAAAGGGATGGAGGAAATAAACATTGGGTTGTCGGAAAAGTCATGACACTTTTTTGCATAGATTTTTCCAACAACCCAATAATACATACATAGGCATTTACTCGTGTATATTTAGAATATCTCTAAAATAATCTATAAACTGGCAACATTATTTTTGAGGAAACTGGGTGATGGAGGTTTTCATTTGATCCCTTTGTACCATAAGAATAATGTGAATGTACTACCTCAAAATAATCAAATTTATGAATATTTCCTTTTTTTTTTTTTTTAAGGTTTTACCACTGGAGAGAGAAACAGAGTGACAGTAAGAGGGAAAGTGAGAAATCACCCTCTGGGAGGAGAGCCACACTGCAGTCCCTTCTCTGTTGTCCTCCTGGAATTTTGGGTACCCATGCACGAATGCCTGGCATGAGTTTCAAGCAGCCAGGTCTGGGACTACAACCCCAGTGGGACATGTGGGAGTCTATTGTCTTAACTGCCATGCCACCTGCTGGCCCCTGAACATTTCATTTTTAATCAAGCTGAAAGTGAAAAAAGGATAGTCTTTCCAATAAAAGGTGCTAGACTAATTGGCTGTTTTTATACAAAAACAAAACAAAACACAGATCTTTAAGCCATACTTCCTACCATATGTAAAAATTAACTTAAAAGGTATTATAGTTCTAAATGTAAATCCTAAAACTAGAACTTCTAGAAGACAGAGGAAATCTTTGTGATCTCAGGTTACAAAAATATTTTTTAGATTTAATATCAAAATCATGATCAATAAAGCAACAAAAATTGGACTTTATCAAAATTAACAATTTATGCTCTTCAAAAAACATTAAAAGAATGAAGAGATAGCTATAGGTGGAGGAAATATTTATCAGATTAAAGCCTTGTTTCCAGATTGTATGAAAACAAATTCTCAAAACTCACTAAGAAGAGACCACCAGGTGGTATAATGGTTATGTCACTGGCCTCCCACATAGTTGACTGTGGTGAGTTCCAGAACTGAGGCTTAAAACTCAAGCCAGGCACATGTGTGTGCATGCCCAAAATTCCAAGAGGAGACTGGAGAAGGGATTGCAGCATGGATATCCCCGCTGGGGGGTGATTTCTCACTTTGTCTCTTTGACAAGTGCACATGCCCTCTAGCAAAACTGTCTCTTTAAAAAAAAAAAAAAAAAAAAAAAAAAGGGGGTTCAGCCTATTATTTTACTATTTGCGTGCAAAAGGGATGGAGGAAATAAACATTGGGTTGTCGGAAAAGTCATGACACTTTTTTGCATAGATTTTTCCAACAACCCAATAATACATACATAGGCATTTACTCGTGTATATTTAGAATATCTCTAAAATAATCTATAAACTGGCAACATTATTTTTGAGGAAACTGGGTGATGGAGGTTTTCATTTGATCCCTTTGTACCATAAGAATAATGTGAATGTACTACCTCAAAATAATCAAATTTATGAATATTTCCTTTTTTTTTTTTTTTAAGGTTTTACCACTGGAGCGAGAAACAGAGTGACAGTAAGAGGGAAAGTGAGAAATCACCCTCTGGGAGGAGAGCCACACTGCAGTCCCTTCTCTGTTGTCCTCCTGGAATTTTGGGTACCCATGCACGAATGCCTGGCATGAGTTTCAAGCAGCCAGGTCTGGGACTACAACCCCAGTGGGACATGTGGGAGTCTATTGTCTTAACTGCCATGCCACCTGCTGGCCCCTGAACATTTCATTTTTAATCAAGCTGAAAGTGAAAAAAGGATAGTCTTTCCAATAAAAGGTGCTAGACTAATTGGCTGTTTTTATACAAAAACAAAACAAAACACAGATCTTTAAGCCATACTTCCTACCATATGTAAAAATTAACTTAAAAGGTATTATAGTTCTAAATGTAAATCCTAAAACTAGAACTTCTAGAAGACAGAGGAAATCTTTGTGATCTCAGGTTACAAAAATATTTTTTAGATTTAATATCAAAATCATGATCAATAAAGCAACAAAAATTGGACTTTATCAAAATTAACAATTTATGCTCTTCAAAAAACATTAAAAGAATGAAGAGATAGCTATAGGTGGAGGAAATATTTATCAGATTAAAGCCTTGTTTCCAGATTGTATGAAAACAAATTCTCAAAACTCACTAAGAAGAGACCACCAGGTGGTATAATGGTTATGTCACTGGCCTCCCACACAGTGACCATGGTTCAAGTCCTGGGCCGGACAGCTTAAAACTCACACCAGGTGCATGTGCGTGTGTGCACAAAATCCCTAGAAGAGAAGGGATTACCATGTGGCCATTCTCCCCAGGGGTTGATTTCTCACTTTCTATCTCTCTGACTCTTTGTTTTGTTTTTATTTCTTTAAATAAGAAAAAAACTAGGCCGGCAGATGGTGTGGTGGTTAAGACAGTTGAACTCTCACATGGCTGACTGCAGTTTGAGTCCCAGACCTGGCAGCATGCTTTCTCACTTTCCTTCACTCTCGCTGTATCTCTGGTCAACTTCAAAACAATAAAATGTAAAATAATGACAATGGATAAAATTAAATAAAAAATGGTTTTTAAAAATAAAAAAAAGAAGAAAACAAACTTGGGGCCAGCAGGTAGCATGGTGGTTAGGGGTGCTGACTGTGGTTTGAGTCCCAGACCTGGCAGCTTGCTTTCTCATTTTCCTTCTATCTCTCTATCCCTCTCTGGTCAAATTAAAATAAGTAAATAAATAAATAAATAAATAAAGTTTAAAAAGTAATCATTCTTGTAAAAAGAAGAAGACAACAACCCAATAAAAATAAAGGGTAAAGTATTTTAACAGATATTTCATCAAATTAGATATACGGATGGGAGTCAGCCAGTGGCATGGTGGTCAAGGTGGCTGAATCACACATGGCTGAAGTCATAGTTTAAATCTTAGACCTGATAGCTTGAAATCCATGCCAGGAATGTGTATGAAAACCATGTCAGGCACGTGTTATGCACGTGGCATAGCCAACCCCCAGGGGGTGCTTTTTTACTCTCTCTTTCTCTCCTCTCTAGCAAGTATACCCCTATAGCAAATAATTAATTAATTAATTAATTAAAATAAAATAAAACAGGTATGTGATGGTAGATAAATTGTTGAAAAGATGTTAAACACAGTCATTAGGAAAGTGAAATAAAACCACAATAAGATACTGTCACACACCTATTAGGATGCCTACAATTTAAATACTTACCCTATCAAGGGTAGTGAACATGTAGAGAGCTGGGACTCTTTACAGCTGAAACAAGTCTACAGTAGTACAGCTGCTTTGGAAAATAGCTTAGTAGTTTCTTGAAAAGTGAAGCATATGACCAGCGAGTTCCTAAGTATTTACCAAAGATAAATGAAAGCATATATCTACACAAAGACCTGTACACAAGGTATTCACAACAGCTGTAATAGCTTAAAACTGAAAACAACTCAAGTGGTTAACAGGCGAATAAGTAAACTGTGATATATCCATATAATACTACACAATAGAAAGGAGTAAGCTATTAATATGTGTGACAGATTGAATTAATCTCAAAGTAATTAGGCTGAGTAAATGAATATATTCAATAAAGAGTACATGCAATGTGATTCCATCTATACAACATTCTAGAAAATTAAAACTCACCTTTTGTGGCAGAAAACAGATTAGTGGTTGCCTTTGTTGGGGTGTTGGAAGAGGGAGAGACAAAAGGAGATTATGAAGGGGCATAAGAGAACTTTGGGGATAATAGAAATGTTCACTCTTTTTTTTTTTTACTTTTTTTTTTTTTTTACATTATTTTAAAGAGGTTTTTGCTTCAGGGCGCGTGCACTCGCCAGACAGACAGAGAGAGACAGAGAGACAGAAAGCGAGAAATCACCCCCCAGGGGGGATGGCCACGCCACAATCCCTTCTCCTCCGTTCTCCTCTCAGGATCTTGGGCACGCACGCACACGTGCCCTGCATGAGTTTAAGACACCATGTCCGGGACGTGAACCACGGTCGAGTACATGGGAGTCCAACGACATAGCCATTACACTAACTGCTGATCCCTTCACTCTCTTGATTATGGTTTCAGGGGCACATACATATGTCAAAACTTATTAAATTATGTACTTTCAGTATATATCAACTATACCTCAGTAAAGCTGTTAAAGAATAATATTAATGTATTACCTATTCAAATATGTATTACATTAAAATGTTAGCATTCTTTTTTAAAAAAGAACTTTATTTTATTTTATTTTATTTTATTTGACCAGAGAGAGACAGAGAGAGAGAGAGAGAGAGAAAGTGAAAAAACAAGCTACCAGGTCTGGGACTCTAACCGTGGTCAGCTGTATACAAGTCCAGTGTCCCAACCACCACGCCATCTGCCAGCCCAAAATAACATTCTCAGAAATAGATAACTACTGACATAGAGAACCCATTTGTGGTTGCCAGGGGATGTGATGGTTTGGAGGGGAATTCAAATATAAGGAGCACAAGGGGTTCTTTGATGGTGATGGGCCAGTGTTGTATCTTGATCGTGTTGGCGGTCACAAAAATCCATACATAGGGTCAAATTGCATAGGACCGCATATGCATGCACAGAGACAAATGAAGGTTAAAAATGATGGAAACACATTAAATTTTGTAATCTCGTTAATCTAGTTAACAATAATGTACTAATGCAAATTTTATTGTTTTGAATTAGCAATATGAGATGTCACCATTAAAAACTGGGTGAAGGGGCTCTATTATTTTTGAGATACCCTATGAACTTATAATTATTTCAAAAAAATTTTTAAAGAGTAATATTTTGGGCCAGCAGATGGCATATGGTTAAGGTGCTGGACTGCCACGTGGCTGACCACAGATTGAGTCCCAGACCCAGCGGCTTCAAATTCACATAGGTACATGTGCATGCCTGCCCAAAGTCCTGAGAGGAGAATGAGGAGAAGGGATTACAGCATGGCCATTTCCTCTGGAGTGTGATTTCTCACTTTCTCTCTATCTCAGTCTCTCTGGCGAGTACAAATGCTCTATAGCAAAGAAAAAAAAATTTAAAGTAATATTTTAAATAGTATAGCTATTTGAAATGATTGTGTGGATCTACTAAAAGTTTTTCAAGGATATAAAGTTTTAATACTTTTAATTAGGATTCCTTCTGTTGTAACACCATTTTCTTGATGCTATTTAGTACTTATTTATCTTGGGTTGTATTATATTAATTTGTGCATTTATTATATTTTCCAAAGAAATTTTCCTGATAATTAATTTATCCCCCCATTTGACATCTCAGCTTCACACATATTTTTTTCTTTTCCCTGTGTTTTTATGGAGATTGACTAATACATTAGATTTTCCGCATTTATTCCTACAGATATTTTTGTTGTAGTTTTCTTTAAAAGGGATAAGCAGCTAAGAAAGACGGGTTTTTAATTTTTTCTAGTTTCTCATTATTATTTATTTATTTATTTTGAGTTTGCTATCTGACATGTGTGCTCATCAGAGAGAGAGAGAAGGTAGGAAAGCAATTCACCAGGTCTGGTACTTGAACTGCAGTCAGCCATGTGAAAGTCCAGCGCCTTAACCACCATGCCACTTGCCAGCCCCCCAAAAATGGGTTTTATATATAGTGTTGTATAAATATATTAAACAATTTAAGTTTGTTTTCTAAATGCCTGTGTCTTAACCTAATCATGGACTTGCTGTGTTTTGGAAAGTTATTGTTTCTTCTTTTCTATTAAGATGAAATCCATTCTTGAAAAAAATGAGGAGGAGCTGTCTCGTACAGTGAAGTGTCGTGATTCCGCCCTGAAAGAGAGTCAGAAGTTGAAAAAGGATCTCGAAGCTTTGGAGGACAGGGAAAGCAAGAAGGCAAGGCATCAGTGCTTTCTGAAAGTCTGTTACTGAGATAAGCGCTAATTAACTCTTTTATGAGCCATATTCCTTAATTCCTTGTTTCCATTATTAAGAAAAGATGTACAAAACAAGAGATGGGTGTGAATGCCAGATGTGGGGTGTGTGGAGGAGTGGGGCCTGGGGAAGGATATTTGGAGGAGGGATACGGAGGCAGAGCATTGATGGGACGGGGAGGTAGTGGTGTTATCGGCTGAAGATATTTTGATCAACTATATAGGAGAGAAATGTTCACATATTCAAATGTTCACTTTATAAGCTAAATGATAAGATTGTATAAAAATTGTTTTAAATAAATAAATTAAAAATTTTTTAAAAAGAAAGAATGAAGATTTATCAGAGGAAGATTCGTTTTTCTTGCAAAAAGATACCTTTCTAATAGTTTTCAAATAATTCCCTTAAAAATACATTACAAGGGGGTGGGCAAGTGGTGTGGTAGTTAAAGGCGCTGGACTCCCATATGGTCGACTGGGGTTCAAGTCCCAGAACTGGTAGCTTGCTTTCTCGCTTTCCTTCTCTCTCTCTTTGTCTCTCTATGATCAAACAGGAAAATAATAAAAATAATAATGATAATAAATAAAGTTAAATAAATTCTTTTTAAAAAAATATGTTACAAGACTGGCCCATAATGCAGCAGTCAAGCCCTGTGAATGGGGAACCAGATTCCACACGGCCAACCACGGCTTGAGCCCCAACACCAGCAGCTTGAAAAACATTTCAGGCATGTATGCATGTATGTCCAAAATCCTGACACGATAGAGAAATGCATGAAAAGGATTGCAACATAACTACCTTATTGGAGGTGCTCTTACTTTCTGGCAGATTCATGCACCCTCTGGCAATTAAAAAAAAAACATGTAACTCCTGATGCTTATTTTGACTTTTCTGTTTTATAATAATCCAAAGAAAAAGTCCTAACTTTTTAGGTAATAATAATTTGACCTTAATAATAATAATCCTTTTATTCCCTTTTTTTGGAGAGTTTTTTTTTTTTTTTCTTTTTTGCTATAGGGCGCATGTGCTCGCCAGACAGAGAGAGACAGAGAGACAGAAAGCGAGAAGTCACGCCCCGGGGGGATGGCCACGCCGCAATCCCTTCTCCTCCATTCTCCTCTCGGGATCTTGGGCACGCACGCACACACACCCGGCAAAGCCATGGGTTCTGGGACGCGAACCACGGTCGACTACGTGGGAGTCCAGCGACATAGCCATTACGCTAACTGCTGGTTCCCGAGGACAGACTCTTGATAGAGCAGCAGTTCATAACTTGCTGCTTTTCCTGGTCTGTATGTATGTGACTGTCCTGTCTCATTTCCTATCCTTTAAAACATATCAGAACTCAGAGCTGGCAGTTGGCATGGTGGTTAAGGGTGCTAGATTCCCACAAGGCCAACCATGGTTCGAGTCCTGAACCTGGTGACTTGCTTTCTCACTTTCTCTTTCTTGCTCGCTCGCTCTATCCCTCTCTGGTCAAATTTAAATAAATAAATAAAGTTAAAATAAAATTCTTTTTAAAAAAATAAACACACCAGAACTCAATTGTAGGCATTCCTCCTTAATGACTTCATCACGTCCGAAGACCCCACCCTGGGACACTACAAAGAGATTAAGTTTTCACTCAACACTCTTACAATACTATTAAGTCCTAACACAGGAACTTTTAGGAGATGTTCAACCACAGCCCATCAAAACTAAATTCCAAAGCATCAATCTTTGAGGAACAAACCATTATCCAAACTGTAACACCTCCAAAACTTTCCTGACAATAGCAGGTGCTAGACTTTGCCTCTCTGAGGAGGCTGGTCTACGACTTACGTTATTCTTCAGTAGCCTCTACTTTCTCTGCTCTTTGCTCAGGTAGTTCTGGTGGGTTTTACATGTGTTTTTCTCTTCTAACTCCATGAAATTACAGCTGAGAGGCCAGCCTGGGACCACCTCTGGACTCAAGAATTTGTTGACCCTGATGTCTCTGATTAATGTATGCAACATCATGACAGTAGTTAGGAAACTGCAGAGTTCTCCACACGAGGAGTCTGCTTTTCTTTATTCTCTCAGTCACAATAACCTAACAACATAAAAATATTATGTTATTAATTATTCCTTTTAGCATTCTACCATACCTGCTTTTCATACATTTTCCTAGGAGTAATGGGATATAGGAAGCAGAAGAATAACCAAAAAGGATCAAATTTTTTTTCTTGTTTCATTTACGATCAGGTGGGAAACTTTCAGCGACAGTTGGCAGAGGCTAAAGAAGATAACTGCAAGGTTACGATCATGCTGGAGAACGTGCTCGCCTCTCACAGTAAAATGCAGGGCGCTCTTGAAAAAGTACAAATAGAGCTTGGGCGGAGGGATTCCGAGATTGCAGGCCTCAAGAAAGAAAGGTACCTGTGGTGGTTTTTCATTCCCTGTATTGCTGCATTGTACTAAGGAGCAGTGTCCAGTCAAGCAGCGAAGTCACTTTATGTTGCTTTCTCTCCAAAGGACTAGTAAAATGGTGTTTAACTGACTACCAGTTAGGGAAGCATGCTTTCCAAAAATTTGAAATTTCTCTGTTTTGTAGTGACGTGAAGAAGCATGTTATCCTAGACATTCATGTGTTATATTGCTGTTTTTCCCCTTGTTCTTTTTCTGTACTATTTAAACCTAATTCTGTTGTTGGGTCTGTGGAATAGTAATTGTTGAGATCATTGGAGGTATATGCCTACTTTGGTTGGAATAAACTATCCATTTATTATATTTTATGTCAATATAAGTAATTATTTTAAGTGAATCACTAAGAACTACTTCTAGCATGTTTCACAAGTAAGCTCCTTTTTGAATATTTTAAAAATTACATAAATTTTTTCTTGGCAGTTAAAATAAATGGTCTAAGGGCCAACAGGTGGTGTGGTGGTTTAGGCACTGAATTCCCACATGGCCAACCATGGTTCGAGTTCTGAACCAAGGAGCTTCAAAATCACACTAGGTGCATGTGCATACCTGCCCAAAATCCTGAGAGGAGAATGGAAGAAAAGGGACTGTGGTGTGGCCATCCCCCAGGGGTTGATTTCTTACTTTACCCTTGCTCTGTCTTTTTGGTGAGTGCATGTACTCTATGGCAAAACATAAAAAAAAAAAAGAAAAGAAAAGAAAAAAAAAAGAAAAGAAATCGAATTTAATAGGGGCTCTTAAAATATATTGTGTGCATTAGTAGTGCATATTGCATTATTAGAGAACAAGTGAGTTTTTTGCTTTATCATGCATATTTTTTTCTTGTTTAAAAAAAAAAAAAACATAGTTTGAAAGTTAGTACTTTTGAATTTTAAAAATGGCAAAAGGGAACCCAGTTCCATCTGCAGCCCCCTGGCCAGTCAGGGAAATTGAGACAGGGTCTTTCACTGGCCCCAGCCTCAGCTCCAGCTCCTCTGGCCCCAGCCTAGCTCTCCCAACCTCAGAGCCCTGCCCCTGCCAGAAAGGGCAGCCCCCAACTCTCCAGCAGAGCACAGTTCCATCTGTAGCCTCCTGACCAGTAAGAGAAATTGAGGCAGGGCCTTTGACTTGCTCTGGTCCAGCTCTCTCAACCTCAGAGTACCCCCCCACCTGACCCCACCTGAAAGGACAGCCTCCAGCTCTCCAGCAGTGCCCAATTCCATCTGCAGCCTCTTGGCCAGTCAGGGAAATTGATCCAGGGCATTTCACTGGCCCCAGCCCAGCTCTCCCAACCTCAGAGCCGTCCACCCCCTGCCAGAAAGGCAGGTAGGCTGTTTTTTCTTTTCCTCTTTCTTTTTTTAATTTTCTACTTTTCCTCACCCCAATTCAATCTGCAGCCCCCTGGCAAAATCTTTTTCTTTCTTTTGTACTCTTTTATCTTCCCTCTTATGTTGTCAGTTTCTCCTCATCCTCCACCCACCCAGAGAGACTAGACAGATCTAGAATCATAGTTTTCAAATACCCTTGTATTATGAGGCCCCCTGGGGCCCTCCCTTTTACTGATCCACCTATGAAAAAAGGAGAAACTGCTCTTCAGACAACTGAATAGAAGACTCTCCCTGCGTGGACCACATTGCTAAACATGGCAGAAGAGAGAGTTCAGCACACATCAATCCATAACAAAAGGGAAGCAAATTTGTTCCCAGTGCCAGAAACATTCTCCAAAAAGTTATCCAAAAGTGAATACATCACCCAATGGCTAGAAGTAAAAGAGCCTTATGTTTGAAGAAACCAGGAAATATGTCTCCATCAAAAGAAAATAACTCCTCTCGATCTCTTGAAAAACCAGAAGTTGTTACCAAAATGTCAAGAAATAATTCAGAACATTCACAGTGACAAAACTCTATGCATAGAAACAGAAAAGATACAATAAACTCCAGAAGATAAGAAAGTCCTTCCACGATTTTAAAGAAGAAATGGACACCATAAGGAAAAAACAGATGGAACAAGTAGAGATGAAGTCTGTAATACAGGAAATCAAAAACCCTCTCGAAAGTATTAAAAGCTGATTAGACCATGCTGAAGATGGAATCTCCAATGTAGAAGATAAAATCTCTGACCTAGAAAAAAGATAGAGAAAATAACGAAAAGAGAGAAAATAATCAAAAAAATGAGGACAATATATGAGAAATACTAGATTCCATTAAATGTCCAAACATTTGAATAATTGGTATTCCAGAAGGTGAAGAAACTAATAAGAGCATGGAAAAATCTATTCCATGAAATCCTGGGAGAAAACTTTTTATGTCTAGAGAAGCACTCAAACATCCAGACCCAAGAAATACAAAGAACTCCAAATGGAATCAACCCAAGAAGATCCTCCCCAAGGCATATCTTAACCAGACTGGGCAAAACCACAGATAAATACAAGATACTAAAGTTGTCAAGAGAGAAACAACAAGTGACTACAAAGGTCACCCCATCAGGGTAACACCAGACCTGTCGACCGAAACAATGCTAGAAAGGAAAGAATGAGAAGACATTGAAAGTGTTAAGAGAGAAACAATTTCAATCAAGATGATTATATCCAGCTAGATTATCCTTCATATGGGAAAAAAAAAGATTAAAATCTACTCAGACAAACAAAATGCGAAAGAATTTGCCAGCACCAGACCACTCTTCAAGAAACTCTGAAAAGAGTCCTATTCAGAACAAGATTCCTCATGGCTCCTGATAGATCTAAGGGCACTGTAGCTAAACATTGAAATACTATTAGGGTTAACATATTCCTCAATATCTACTGAATCTGCTGCACCTGCGATCACAACAGAACGGCAAAGAGATTCCTGATCACCTCTTTCTGCTTACTCCTGAACACTCTGATTGAACATCAAGAATTCGAAAGAAACACACCATCCATCAGATGACAAGAAATCACTGCAGGACCACAAGAAATATGGGAAAGCAAGAAAATACCTCTCCTCCAAGACAAAAGAATAACTCCTCTTCATCCACAAGCAGTTCAATGCAAATCATGGAAATGTCTGATAAAGAATTTAGAACATTCATAATGGCGAAGCTAACTGAGATGGAAGAGAAGAGAGACAATGAACTGCTAAAGAGAAAGGAGAAAGAAGTTGACGAGTTCCAGGAGATGAGGAAATTCTTGCAAGATCTAAAAGAGGAATTACACGCTTTACAAAAGAGTCAAACGGAACTGTTAGAAATGAAGTCTATAATATAGGAAGTCAAAATCTCCCTTGAAAGTATTAAAATCAGATTAGATCATACAGAAAATAGAATCTCAGATGTAGAAGAGAAAATGGCTGGCCTAGAAAAATCCACCACGAAGACTGAGAAAATGGCACAAAAATTTGAGAATAATATGC